GAAATAATTTTTAGAAGATAATGCAATTTAGAGGCTCTGTATGTTTTAAATGTTTCTCACGGCTGATTAAAGGCTTGCACTTGGATGGGAAATCTAATGCTCATCTGGGTGATGAATGTGTTTTCATTTCAGGAAAGAAAGACTTCTTAAGTAGAAGTTAGACTCATGGGAGAATTGCACAGGGACAGGTGGGAGCATGCCTATGATTAGGGGAAAGTTAATGGAAAAACTCTTCCCATTTGGAGTTTGAGGGACATTTACAGACTTAATGAAAATTAAGTTTTCTCTGCTTTGATCTATACAGTTAAATATTTCTTCTTTGAAACATAAAATTAAATATTGCTTCTATTTCTTCCCAGTTATGTAGAGAACCATCTATATTTAACAGTGACATTAATTAAAAATTAAATAAATGAATAATAACAGATGATTAAGATGAATGATCATATCCTTAAAAATGATCAATCCTACTAGCTCTTCTTACATTTTCAACTCTAGAGACGTCAACAAACTACCACTCAAAGATCCCATCTGCCCAGCTGTCTGTTTGGCAAATAACATTTTATTAAAATTTATAAATGTTTGCATATTGTCTATGGTCTGTCTCATGCAGAATGTTGTCCTTACAACACAGACTGCATGACCCATTAACCCTACAGGGTTTACTCTCTAACTCTACCCAAAAAAATATTCTTGCTGACTCCTGCTCCAGAGATGATCACATGTTTAGAGTTTAAATGATGGTAAAAAACTAACAGAAAGGACTTGGTGGGGTTGAATATAGGATATGATCATAAGAAGGATTTCAGATTCTTAGATCCCCTTAAAGACAATACATAAGTAATAATCTGGTTTGCTCTTCACGTTTTGCATTAGGAAAACAGAAGTCTATGGTGTTCTAAACACCCTTATGCTTAATATACCAAACTTAAAATATCCAATATATACATGAACAGGAAAATGCATAAAAATGTTGATGCATTCATACACTAGAATAATATTCGAAAGGAACTATCGATACCTATAAAACATGACTGGAACTAAAAGAAAATGTGATGTGTAAAGCAAGCCACACACACACACACACACACACACACACACACACACACACACACACACACACACACACACACACCCCACAATACATATAACACACACACATGGAAATATATTCTATATGATTCCACTTAAGTAAATCCCAAGAACAGGAACTTACATACCAAGGTCATGGAAGGCAGAATGAGGTTACCTTTGGATGAGGTGTGGCATTTAGATGGAGTAAGTGTAAACTTTCTCAGGTAATGAAAATATCCCATATTTTGCTGTTGGTGGTGATGGCCTGGAGGAATGTTCAACTAAGTCAAGTGAGTAAACATCTCACCAAATTCAACAATTTTAGAATTTGTAAATTTTGTCTTACCTTTATTGTACATACTACAGTAAAAAAAATAATATAGGAAAATAAGTAACGCAATAGTGTTTTTTAAAAGATTTAAGGTCCTGAAACAAGCATGAGGGAGACTTACAATGTGACTTCTTTAACTCAAGGAATTTGCCTGTTTAGTAAAACCCCACCAAACCATGATTCTAACACAGGTGTTCAGAGGACTGCTGTTTAAGAAAACCACTCATTTTGCTGCCAGGATATATTTTTAACACCATTTTTAATGAGCTTCCCTTTGATTGCCAATTTTCCACTTCCATAGTATTTTGGGAAGGGGTATAATTTCTCCACATTTCAGCACTGATACTGGTTTAAAACAATCCTGCACTATCATATGAATATCTGGTGTCTCTAGTCTATGCATTAAACTTGATTATATGAACTCTTGTAAGTATTTAAATTTCATAATTAAACACTGGAGGGAACCAGAATTCGCTTAGAGACAGATATTTGCTTTAGATCAAATATTTGCTTTAGACCTGCGTACCTGTCCTGCACAAATTATTTTTCTCATGCTTTTATTCATCAGCTGAAAAACATGAATGAAAAAATAGTGCCTTGCAGGCACAATCCTGCCAAATAATGTTGCCTATAATAGATGTTTGATAAGTGGAGTTGAATTGAATTGTAACAGATAGCTCAAGGAAAAAACAAAAAGGAATAAATAAAGCATCCCTTTGAGAGAATATTAGTTTGAAAAGATTGCAAATGAAAGAAGACACTTGAGACTTTCTTTTTACACTGTGTATTATGCATCTGGCACAGCACAGCCACTTTGCTTTCTCATAAAATCCCCATATTTACTTTATAAAGTAGGTGCAGATTATCCCCATTTTACAGATGAAGAAAGAAGCTTGAAGTGGTTTAGTGGCCAGGATCAGACAAATACTGTATTAGTCACACTCTCCAACTTTGAGAGGCAGAAATGTACAGCCAAAATTATTCCAGAGGCTTACAACAGCAAACATTTTTTTTTTTTTTTTGAGGTTCAGCATTGGCTCTATTTCCTATGTCTTCATACTGTAGAACCACAGCTGAGAAGGAGACTCCATCCAGAACACTGCTGAGCTCACAAGTCAACCACACAGTGCTCTTATATTACACATGCTCCATTGACAGAGGATGGCAAAACCTGGTGCCCTGCAGGGAATGGAGGGTGACACACTTGGTGTTGGGGCTGCATGTTTGTGTCCCTGCAAAACTCATGTGTTGAATTATAATCTCAATGTCATGGTACTAAGAGGTGGGACCTTTGGGAGGTAATAAGATAATGAAGGTGGACCCCTCATAAATGGGATTAGTGCCCTTAAAAATGAGACTCCAGGGCCTCCCCCGGTGGTGCAGCGGTTGAGCGCTGGATTGCGAAGCTGCCCGCAGCCTCTGCAGTGCTGGTTCAATCCCCGGCTGCTCCCCGGCCACTGGAGGAGGGTCCCGCATGGCGCGCAGACCTCTCCTGCCGCCCGCTGCTCCCCTCAGCAGTGGATTTCATCAGTCTGCCTGTTCTGCTCTCTGCTCTAGCTCTGGTGAATTCTCTCACCCTCCCGCACTTCTGACTGTACCCAGTGCTTGTATAAATAAATAAATTAATTTTAAAAAATGAGACTCCAGTTAGCTCTCCCACCTACTTCCCCCACCTTGTGAGGATATGAGGAGAAAGCAATGAAAGCATGTAACCTGGAAGAGAGTGCTCATCAGAACTTAACCTTTCTGTGTCCCTGATCTCAGACTTCTGCATGTGAAATTAGTTTCTGCGTTTTAAAAATTTTATAAAAGTCTCTGGTATTCTGTTGTAGCATCCTGAACTAAGACGTTTAGTGAAAATAAAAAATAGCTATGGTAACTGACTAAGCCAAAATGCAAATTCAGGTTTGTCTGGTATTAAGGTCCATTCCTCTTTCACTAAGATATTTTTATATGTTTATTTACAATTCATTAATTCAGTAATTATTTTTTCAACTCTTAGTAGTATGTAGTAACTAAGAAGATCTGATTTGCTTTAGCAATAACTAACTCTTAAATTCATCTTTTCCATTTAGTGACTATAAAGTAACTAGCATTATATAACTAGAATTAAATTCTACCTCATAATAGAGGTGAATTTTTATCTGGAACTAATGACAGGCATACAAACTATACAAATGCATGTATGAGATTTCATATTCAAAGTCCCTAAAAGTCTCTTTTATCTCTCTGGCATTTTCTCTGGTTTCTGTAGCTCCCAAATTTAATATTCTGAAGATTCAGAATATGTTAACTAGACAACTTTGGATATCATTTTGACACCTACATGAATTAAACAAACTACCACCTACTAGAATGATTATTTCATATCAAAACAATATGGAATAAAGGATATATTTAAAATTCTTCAGAACGCAGAAAAAAATTTCAAAAGCAGCATGAAAATATACTTTATAGTATTGCCTTGCTTACAGTTGTTTTCTTACTGCAAGTTCTTCAGCTGGGAGTGCTTTCTTTTTTATCATGTTATTGCAAAAAAAATTCACACAGGCATGATAATCAAGATTGGATTTACTTTCTTAATATTAGTTTACTCAATTTGCGTTATTAGGAGAAAACTCAGAGAGACATAAACATACCATTTTGCTGTCTTCAATTCCCTTGTCATGTATTGGTCGTTAAAAGTGGATCAAATATCCATAAGATTATAAAATAAATTATATCTGGGAGAATATTAGTTTGTGGCCAAGCTATCCCAAAGATGGACATCCGAGGATTTATCTGCATGCGATGTTGGAAACACTTTGCTGTGGACTCACATGATCTGAGGACTTGTAGAAGAGTGTCCTACTGAATTCAAGAGCTGTGCCAACCACTGTGAGTGTAGTCAGGTTGTCCTTAGGTCTAATTAATTTAATTCAACTCATTTTACCCAGTGCCTGCCACATGCTTTATGTTATTAGCAGGCTCTGGAAATATGACACTACACAAGATAATAATCTGCCCTGCAGGATCTAGGGATGGAGCAATAGCCTCTGCTGAGCCCCACTGCTTACATGTGACTTCTAGCTCAGTTTTCTGACAATACCAGGGACGATGGTAGTAGGCTGTATCCATGGTTGGTGAACTTTCCACCTTCATTAATTTAGCAAAGGTCTGACAGTAATACAATGGCAGGATGATGTCTGTTCAATATTGTTTTGTTTTAAATTGTGTTGTTTTTTTTTTTTAATTGAAGCTACTTTGGTTTACAACATTGTGTGTGATTTAGGGGTACAGGTTCACACCTCTTCAGATGTATGGTACCACCCCACACCTATCACCAAAGTACCAATAATCCTTCCGTGAATTCTATTGGATCCCCTCCCCAATTTTGATCCCCATACCCCTTCTGTTGGCCTCGATTTTGCAGTCAGGTTTATAGGGTTTATTTTGCTTTATTCTTTTGTTTCTTTATATTCCACATATGAATGAAATCATCTTGTATTTGGCTTTCTCCTGACTTATTTTGCTTAACATAATACATTCCAGTTCCGGCCATACTGTCACAAAGGACAAGATTCCATCATTTTATTATAACATACATGTTCCCGTTTAACCTGGTCTCATTTTACATCAATTCACTTAAAGTCCCAGTTTCCAACAACCTGCTAAAGACTTGAAGTGAGGACTTGCTGTACTGGGCTATAGGGAGATATTGGTTATTTTAATACTACACAATTAGTTTTTTTTTTTAAAGATTTATTTATTTATACAAGCACTGGGTATAGTCAGAAGCATGGGAGGGTGAGAGGATTCACCAGAGCCAGAGCGGGGAACAGAACAGGCAGAAGGTCCGAAGTACACTGCTGAGGGGAGCAGCGGGTGGCAGGAGAGGTCTGCAAGCCATGTGGGCCCCTCACCAGTGGCCAGGGATCAAACCAGTGCTGCAGAGGCTGCAGGCAGCTTCACAGCCCAGTGCTCAACCGCTGTGCCACCAGGGGAGGCCCGCAATTAGTTAGTTCTTACAGACTTTTGCACTTTTTGCTTTACTGTACCCTGCCTATAGGCAACAGGTTTGAGTTGAGTTTTTCTCTGGAACACAGGTTCCTGGGTCCACTGTGAATGAAAGACAATTCAGCTTGGCATCATCATCATTATCTCCACCACCAGCACTGTCATCATTATAATAACCCAAGCTAACATTACTGAAAGCTTTCTCCATGCCAGAAACTGGAACACATATATTAAATGGAACAAATATAGTAAGTATATAACACACATATACTTCATTGAATGCCACAGTGATCTTATAAGGTAGATTTTATCATTATCCCCATTTTAAAGATAGGACAACTGGGATTCAGAGGATTACATTATGTTGTTCAATGCCATAGTTAGTAAGAGACATGGCAAGGATTTGAAATCATGAATCTAATGCCAGTATCCATGTTCCTAGCTACTCTATTTTCTTTCCTTTTTACTTAATTATTTATGCATACAAGAGCTAGGGTATAGGCCAGAGGTGACTATACCTTCACAAGAGTCACAACTGGAAGAGAAGGGAAAGGAATGCCTTGTAAGTGTTTCATCCATCATCTGGGGTATGTAACAATGTCAGTCTCTGCCTTGCTTCTCTTGCTTCAACCCTCCTTTTTGAGAGATGAATTCTATAGACTAAAGTCTTCTTTAGTTATTGAACCAACCCAGAGACTGTCAGGGCATAATTCCTGTTTAGAAGGTCTTGGAATTAAAGCCCCCTAGGTTTGGGCCCTGGAGTCTCAGCATGACTGATGAGTAACTTGTCTTTAAGAAAATGAAGTAATGGGCTTCCCTGGCCACAGTAAATGGTTTTCATCAGTCTCAGAGTAATCATTATCTTTATTTCTTAGTCCAACTTGAAGTTCCCAATAATGCAGAGTATCCTTTGTTATCTCAATAATATTATTAATAATTGTGATTGTTTCAATTGTTCAGAGCACATTTACCTATATTAATTTATTCAGTCTTCACAGCATCCCTTTTACAGGATGGACATCATCATCATTATTATTATTATCTTATTTATGTATATTTTTTGACATTGTTGTTCCTCTCAGGTGTAATCCCCATAAAATTCCCACCATCAAGTCTCCCATGAACTGTCACCATAGTCTTTTGTGTTCTTCCCTCTCCTGTTCTGATCCCTCTCCCTCTTCCTCCCCTGATGAATGTCTCTGATTTATCTTTTGCTGCTATTTTTTTTTTTTCCTGATCCCTTGTTTGGTTCCCCTATATTCCTCCTATAAGTGAAACCACAGGATGGACATTATGATCATCACTTTTCAGATGAGAATTCTAAAGAGGCAAGATTGTCCTTGGCTTGTAAAAGCTAGGACAGTTGGCAGGAGACAGAGGTAAATTTATCTCTCACTCTCTGATCATAGACACTCCACAGTAATCATTACAAGACTATTTCATCTTCATCTTCTCTCTCCAGTTGCTTATTGCACCAGTGGGGTATGCCCTGAATCTGACTTATTGGAAAGTGATTCGGGGAGGTGAGGGAGTTTCTTCTCATCCACACACTATTGCTAAAACTGGCTTGGTTAGGCTGAAGGGTCAGAGTCATAATTTCTCAGGAAAATGACAGGCTAATGGCAAAAAAAGCTATAAATATCATCAAACACATGACTCGACATTTACCAAGGCAATTGTTTCATCATAAGAATTTCAGGCATTTTGGTACCTTTCAATTCAGCCCCCACAAGACACCCTGCCCCCTTACCAAGGAGGAAAGGAAAGGGCATGAAGCTTGTACATGTGTGTGGGGATGGGTGCAGGGTAGGGAGCACAAAAGGCAGATGAGAAGAGGCAACCAAATGGGACATTCCTGTGGCTTCAGGAGTCAATTGAGGTCCTAATTCTTTGTGACCAATGGTAGGATTAAGAGTTCAAAAGGGCAGGTCATATGAGGGCACGGGGTCAGGCTGGGTCATGCAGGGATGTGACCCAGGAAATGCTGGCAGGCTGGGCCCCCATACCTTCCCCAGCAGGTCTCCAATTAGGATTTAATAGCCAAATGTGGAATGCATTAGGAGTTCTGAGCAGAAAGTTTATGTTCAAAGGAGTGGGGTCTTTTGGCTAAGTAGAAAAACATTCCTTCTTGGTCAGTTTCTTCCTGAAGTTTGCTAATTCTGGGGGCCTGGCTGGCAGTGGTGCCTTACAAAGCATCCTGTGTGAATGGTCCAGGGATAACACCCTTGTTTTCCTTAAAGATGACACAAAGAAGAATCAGCAGATCCACCACCTCTATTCAGTACTTGGAACATTGTGGGGGGTACAGCGAATCATCTGATGGGAGTTTTTTGTGTTTGTGGCTACGTATTCAATTGAGCACATACTGGCAGAAAGAGTATATGTGTCAGTAGATATGGATAAATGTTAAAATAGCTTTTGGGTAGTGTTAAAATAGATATTTATTCCTTTGTGTGTATGCCTGTTGTATTTTTGTTTATCCATATCCATCTATCCATCATCTTTCTAATCTGTTTTTCATCTATTTCTATATCCTACTACTCTTCCTTCTTTCCGACACCTATCTATATATCTGTCTGTCTGTCTGTCTATCTATCTATCTATTTATTTATCTATCTATCTACCTACCTACCTACCTACCTACCTACCTACTACCTATTTATCTTTTCTATATTAAAGATTGTCCTTATACCTTGTCTGGTGACAGAGAGAAATTCAAGCAATGCGGCAGGGTATATTTAATATGTTTATATGTGTCTGTGTGTGTGTGTGTGCACACAAGTATACTTGCACGTTATGAATATGTATGGGTGTAGGTATGTATCAAAGGGAAGCATCTAATATACAAACATACACATTCATATACATGAGTCTGTGTATGCCTGAGACCTCTGAAAGTGATCAAATACTTAGATTGGGGAAAGCATGTTAGTGTCTGTGAAAATGTTCCTATGAATGAAAATAACATTCGGTGAAAGACCAGTTCTGTGCTGTGAGCATGTACCATTGCATATTTTGAAAGTGAAAATGCACAGATAGAGGAATATGTGAATTGATGTTTCTGTGGTGACATATTTTGCTTTATAGATGTTGCTTTGTATGAACAAAAATGATAAATTGTGTCAAGTGCATATGTGTGCAGTGTGTTAGAAGTGTACATGGCATTTTTGTAGACCAAGAGGGTGATCATGAATGAACATCCATGAATCCAGTGTGAATTTGAGCGTGCCCCTGTGTGTTATGCCAAATGAATAGGCACAAGTCCTGACTGTGGACTATGAGTATTGGCTTGTATCTCTGGCAGGGTTTGAATGGATGGTGAGATTGTGGAAAATATGTGCAGTATGGGGAACATGAAACTGGGTATATGTCTGCAGAGAGAGTTAAAGAAAGTGCATGAGTCTGTTCGTGGTTCACCCCTCCACAGCATGCAAGGGTGGCATCTTGAACTTCAGCTTGGAAGCAAAGTTGCTCCTGTTCTGGTCTGACCTAGCCTCTCTTCTGGAGTTTGAATAAGTGACACAAGAAAATAAGGAAATATGTCCTGTTTCCTCTTAGCAATGCTAACAACATATACACACATGTATATCCACTCACCGCATCCAACACACATGGTCTAAAGCAAGTAATCATGAATTTGAGCTTGAGCATCTAATGCTATCATTTCAGCCCTAAATTTGGGCTGATGAGCTCATCCTGGTTTTATCACATGAAACTCTCCAGTTTTTACAAACCTGGACACTTGGTCCCCCTATTTGCATTAGTTGGTAACAGAATACAGAATAGGGAAATTAAGTCTTGGCCATTCCCAGGGGAGTGGCACAGCACTATTATTTTGTTTCTTTTCACAGAGAAAAAACAGTGCCCTGGATCCTATCAAAGAACAGCATTTTATGAGTGAATTTACTTGCAAGTGAAGCATGGAATAGATCTTAAAAGCACAGAAATTCACAGCTGCCTAGATCTATTTTGGAATAGGACTGTGTCCTTACAAGACATGGTAATGTGGTTAACTCACTTAGGGCTTCAAAACCTGGTTTCCTCATCCGTAAAGTGAACATAAGAACTGCTTCACAGAGCAATTTTATGGATTAAATGAGATCATATGGAGGCAAAGCACTTGGTACAGCTCCCAGGATATAACTTCAATAAATGTGCACATCACCATCACCCCCTCATCTTTGCAATATTTTTGATCAGCAGCAGTGACAGACAAGATGTCTGCTAGAAGTTGAAAATATAACTACAAACAAACAGCACCCCTGCCCTCAGGAATCTTCAGTTTAGGTTAATTTCCTAGTAAAAATTAGTAAAAACAACTCTATCTCATTGTGATGAATTGAAAAATTAGGGAGTTGATTTATATTCCTCATTGAGGGTTGAGATATACAGAACACAAGGAGAGATAGAGAGAGAGGCATAGGTGTTTTGAGGTTTGTATTTGCCATATCTATTTGGTATGGGTATGTATATATGTTTATATTACAAAGGGTGATAGTTGAACTCCAGACAATTTAACAAGCCCTTGTCATCTTCCAAAAGCAACAGCTGCTGTTGAGCTCTTGCTGAGGGCCTGGCAGTGGGTAGGACTCTGCACAGCAAAGCAACCCTTCCGTGTCAGGACTGCCTCAGAGGAATGAGAAGGGACAGATGGCCACGGATTGTTCTGGAACATAAACCCAAGTGTCAGGCATGAAGGGAAAGACTGAAGACAATTTGAAGTGGCGGGGCAGGAGGGGCAGGGCAGGGCACGGCAGTCAGTGCGGCAGACAATGTCTCATTCATGAGGCCACAAACTGTGTGGACTCAGCACCTTGCAGCTGGTGTTAGGCTCTGTGCTGGACACAGATAGAGCAAGTGGGTTCCCTACCATCAGGGGAGTCACCATGGCTTTCCAGAATGAACAGTCCTAATTTTTAGACCAGCCTCTGCCTTTGCCCAGCACTGGGCACTGACACAGACATTGTAAAACAAGGAGTAGTATGTGTTGATTAACGCAAAGAAAGTGGAACAAACCAACATCCTTGGGGTTGTAAAAGACTTGTCAAAGTCAAGAAAGTAGTAACTAGAATGCGCCTTATAGGATGGAATCACTAGGCAGTAAATTGGTATGTGGGAGGAGGTATGGGTTCTATTGCAGGCATTCCAGAGAGTGGGATTATATGAACACACACGGAGAATTGTTAAGGAAGGGATGTGTAGGAGACAGAGGGAGCCGCAACCCAGAATGGATGATCCAGATGCGCAATCCAGAATGGACAGTCCTGAGTTTCAGACCGGCCTCTGCCTTTGCTCAGCACCGGGCCCTGACCTGCAGGCTCCGGGGAAGTGTTACTTAGTAAATGAATAGATGATGCCGGAAGCAGCCAGTTATACCCAACAGAAGAGTTTGCACTTCTTCCTGGAAGTAATGGGGAACTACCTAAATAATTTTGAAGAAAATGAGGTGACCCAAAACTGTATTTTAGAAATGCCATTCTAGTCTTAGCAAGGGGGCATATATGGGTTGGCAGAGATCCAGGGAGGCAAAAACCTGAAGCCAAATGACAAGAAGATAATCTGACAACATCCTGACATCATACGCTGGAGACTGACTCAGGCAGTGGCTGGGTGATGGAGAAGAGTGGCTCTGCAGAAGTGACTTGGATGATTGCTGATTCCTCAGATCTCCACTCACATATGAATAGTACTCTTGTTTCCTCCCATGAAGAGCACAATTTGAGATCCTGAAAAACCACCTGGCTTCTGAACACATTTGATTCAATTCTAGGATCAGACTAGTGGAATGCCCTGGATGGGAGTGTGGGATTCTGGGAAAAAATAAACACATTGGCTTTTACTGTTGCCCTGGAGTAGACTGTAGCATCTCTGAGCTCCAGTCTGTTTCCAGCTCTTCACTTAGACACCTCCTGCCTTTTTCCAATCTTGTTTTCTATTGCATAAAATGAGAGTAATAATATCAGCATTGTGGCATTGCATGGATTTGCGAAGGAAAATACCTGTGAAAGTCTCTTAAAAATCTTTGACCAAACACAGGTAGAGTTATGAGGCAGGGATGAACATCAGCAGTTTCCTAGGGAAACATAAAGAGCTGCCTTGAATTCCCAACATCAGTCAATGAGGCTTTCTATTTAAACTTGATCTGCAGGATACCTGAACTTCCCCCTGCCTTCCACAGGATGGTCTTATTTCCAAAGAATGTTCTCACCCAGCTCAGGGCTTTAAAGGAGAACAGAGGGCATTAAGTTAGATTAACAGACTTATTTCTTGCTGTCACAGATGATGAGGTTCTTTTTGGAGAGAGGATCTCTCTGGGTACCCTGAAAGGACAGCCTATTAACATACACCCTATAAAAATCTCAGGCCTGCTCCTCGCATGTGTGTGATCTGACATTCCTGGGCACATACTTTATTTCAATTAACATTTCACAATCCCCGTGTCCCCATTTTTCCTGGACTATTCAAGCACTGACTTTCTCTCATGCCATAGCTCAGGGAGCACTGGAGACCCCATTAAATCCAGCAGACATGTGTCCTTGATTAAACAGAGAGCCAGAGAGTTTGCACTGTGGTGAGGATTGTGGACACAGCTTAGATCTATCAAGCAACTTAAACTCTATTGAAAATAGAAAGTTTTGGGTTTGGGTCTAATTGTGAGTAGATGTGCAGAGGTGGGACATGGATCAGACACATGGCTGGCATTGAGAGAGGTGAAGGGCCAGAGACACAGAAATGTGTTGTTTGGGCCAGACTTTCAGATCATCCAAGACAACTGCTCATGAAGTGACTCCTTTCAACACACACTTGTAGAAAACTACTGGTAATCCAGGTGCTTTACTAAGTGCTGGTTCAAGGTTAATGAAGACTTGGTTCCCATTCTTCAAGAGGAGGGAATGAGTAAGTTCCTTCCTTCCTTCCTTTTTTGTGCCCCTTCCATTTATTTAAAAAGCATTTATCATCATTATGATAGCTATGATTTACTTATTGTCTCTTTATTTTTTTTAAGATTTATTTTATTTATACAAGAACCAGGGTACAGGCCAGATGTGTGGGAGGGTGAGCGGATTCACCAGAGACAGAGTGGGTAACAGAACAGGCAGACCAACGAAATACACTGCTGAGGGGAGCAGTGGGCGAGACAGGAGAGGTCTGCTTGCCATGTGGGTTGCTCCGAGGCCAGCGGGGATTGAACCAGCACTGCAGAGGCTGTGGACAGCTTCACAGTGCTCCGCTCAACCTCCTGTGCTACCAGGAAGGCCCTACTTACTGTCTCATTAAAAGACAAAAATATTCTTCAAAACTGTCTAGTTCATGAAAAGCAAGAAAAGTCTGAGAAACTTCCACACACCAGAGGAAAATCAGAAGATCTAACAGCTAAGTATAATATGAACACAAAGATAACATAAAGAAAAAAAACTGATGAATTCCAAATAAAGTTTAGTGTTTAGTTACGAATAGTATACCAATCAATGTCACTTTCTTAGATTTGACAAGTGTATATCAAGGTTAAGTTGTTAATAATTGGAGAAACTGGATGTGGCTCATATGGGACATTTCTGAGATATATTGTTATTTTTCTGTAAATTTGAAGCTCTTGAAACATAGAAACTTTGTATACACAAAAGGAAAAACATCATGATGAAACACTAAAATAGTTGTTGAGGTGTTGTGTTCCAGGAATTTCACTTGTGAGTGTGTGTATGTGTGAATGTGTTTGTGTGTAATTTTCACATAGTGTTGTGAGATTAGGAAAATGGAAGATTCTAACATACGTAATTTAATTGCCCTTTCTGAACTAAGATTTAGAATTATGACTGTGCCACTCTAAACTCTTGTTCTTCTTTAGTAAGGTTTTATGCTTTGTTCTGTAGCTTGGGGAGATTTTGTGTCTCTATCAACCCACTTCTTAATGTCTCCTTCAGAGTTCTTGATTGCCAATTATTTATTTACATTGAACTTCATCTTCAGTGACTTCTATGGTTTCTGATGGGTTCAAGGTAACTCAATATCTAGTGCTTCCCTTGATAGTGCCAACCCAAGGGAAATAAGATTAAGGACTAAATTATATAATTCAAATGATCTTAGTTTAAAATTACCCTTGTGATAGATGAAATTGATTTTGGAGAGTGGGGCTGTTTTCTTTGAGCAAGTGAGCAACCAAATCCTGAACTCCAGAATGAGACAGACTTACCTGTACCTGCCTAGTCAAAGGCAATGTTAGGTAGATGCTATGGGATGTAGGCACATCATAGACTGTGTTTTCTCTATGGGCAAGCACATCCCAAAGAGAAAAAGACCAATGTGTTGGACTTCCCTTGACTTCCCTTTTTCCTTCCTAGTATGCTAATCAAATGTAAGAAGTTGGAGAGAAGCAAGGACTACTCTATCAATTGATATTCCCATAGGTGGAAAGAAATAGGGAGAATATCGTCACCCCAAAATATCAAATACTCATTTTGATATAATTTAAATACTTTGTCTTTAGTATTATTCATGTGGAAGAAATCTGCTGCCAACAAAGATGGTGAACCACTAGAAAACAGTTTAATAAATGCCCCGGTATGCACAGCATGGCACACAACTAGCAGACAACACTGTGTAACAGAAAACTACTCTGGAGCCTGACTCAAAGATTTGAATCTAATCTTTAAGATGTACTAGGTTTTTGACTATGATCTACTTAATCTTTCCAAACTTCAGTTTTCTCACCTGTGGAATAGGTTATCTACATTCTGAATGGATTTGAATACTGACTGACACCATCTTTATAAAATGTCAGAATACAGCATTAATTTAATCTTAGTTCTCTTTTGCGCTTTCTCTTCCATTTCAATAAACTGTTCCTCATTTTGAGAGCTCTTGTTTTTAAGTAGTTAAGCTTCAGTTTCCTCTCTATGCAAAATCTAAGAATAGCTAGTGTTAGGAGTTGTCAAGCCAAATAGAAAGAGTAATATGTAAAGTGTTTAGTAAAGTGACTGGCACATCAACAGGGAACAAGAAAATTTCTTGCAATAGTGGTTGGATACTTAGTTTTTTTTTTTGCTGTTCCTCTTTTTCTTGTCATTACTCCAGAGAACTGGGGCGGGGGAGGGACTGACCATCTCCCTAGAAGAGCCTGATGTCTGTAGTCCTTAAGATTCAGTTAGTCCAAAGGAGTATGAGTGATTTTGTCCATAAGGTACAGAGTGCCTGTCTCTGTAATCAGATCTGCTTCTTAATGTCCTAATGGGCAGACTCTGCGATCATTAATGTCTGCAATGTATTTTATGGTCATGTTAGCAGAGCCTAAATGTGAGTGCATTTTTAACAAACCCAATCAACAAATATAATCACATCCACTCTAGAAAAGTCTAGGTCATTATCCTCTTAAGAAGCCCATCTGCCTAGTAGTGGAGGAACATAGAAATTTGGGCTATTGTCTATTCAG